CTTGTGAAAAGGAATTAGAGAAAAGCTTAAGCAGTGAAAAAGCACTGAAAGCAGAACACTGATGCAGATGTAGTTGAACAAGGGGGGTATGCTTCAGCCCCAGCAAGCAGCAGAACTTGGAAGCTTTAGCTTTAGAGTCAAGGACAGATGAAAGGGGTCACAAAATCTCCCTCCATGATTAAAGAAAGACCCTGAAGTCAAGTGTGTGTTTGGGGTGCTCCTGCATGAAGCCCCAGCCATGTCGTTGTGTGAAGATGAGGTCTGGATTGCCTTGGAGACCCCAAGATGTTGGAAATGCCAGAGTCATGGGATACCTGTCAAGGAAAATTGCTAACTGGGAGTGGAACCAATGTAAGAGAGAGAAGTGGCTGGCTGGTGGTGGTGCACACCTTTAATCCCAGCGCAAAGGCAGATTGAATTCTGTGAGTTCAAGGCCAGCCTGGTCTACAAGAGCTAGTTCCAGGACAGGCTACAAAGCTACAGAGAAACCCTGTCACGAAGAGAGAGAGAGAGAGAGAGAGAGAGAGAGAGAGAGAGAGAGAGAGAGAGAGAGAGAGAGAGAGAGAGAGAGAGGAGAGAAGTGTGCTGCAGTCAACAAAGCTGAAAGGAGAATCTGAGGAGCACTTGACATCAGAGTTTGGAGTTTGCCCAGCTGGATTTCAATCTTGCTCTGGTCCAGTATTTCCTCTCCGTGTTCCCTTTCCCCCATTTTGGAATGGTAATGTATATTCTGTGCCATTGTATGCTAGAAGTATGTGATCTGCTTTTGGGTTTGATTTTACAGGGGTTACAGTTAAGGGATTGCCTTGAGTTTCAGAAGGGACTTTGGACTTTTAAACCGTGTTGAGACTGTGATAGATTATAGGGATTCCTAAAATTGGACTGGCTGCATTTTTTCACAGTATGGTATGGCTACAATCATACAGTCCTATGGGGGAGTTGCAAATGGTGGTTTGAAGAAGAATAGTCTCCACAGGCTCATAGATTTAAATGCTTAGTCACCAGTGAGAGGCACTATTTGAAAAGATTAAGAGGTGTGGTCCTGTTTGAGGAAGTGTTTCACTGGGGATGGGCTTTAAGGTTTCAGAAGGCCATGCCAAGCCCAGAGTCACTTTTGTCCTGCTTCCCGTGGATCCAGATGTACACCTCTCAGCACCTTCTCCATCCAGCCCCATACTTTCCTCCACAGTGACAATGGAAACTCTAAGCAAGCCTCAATTAAATCCTTCCCTTTATAAGAGTCGCCAAGGCCACGCTGTCTCAACCCAGCAATGGAACACTGACAAAGACATTTACTCTTAATTTTTTTTTAAAAAAATTCAGTTTTGCCTACATGTGCCCCATGTGAGTACCTGATGCCCATATAGTTTAGAAGAAGGCCTTGGATGCTCTGGAACTTGGTGGGTGTGATCCACCACGTCCATTCTGGGCACCAAACCTTGGTCTTCTGCAAGAACAACAAGTATTCTTAACCACTGAGTCATCTCTCCAGCCCCTCGAATGTATGTGTGTGTGTGTGTGTGTGTGTGTGTGTTTGTGTGTGTGTGTGTGTGTGTGTGTGTGTGTGTGTGTGTGTGTGTGTGAGAGAGAGAGAGAGAGAGAGAGAGAGAGAGAGAGAGAAAGAGCGCTCACATATGCGTGCCTTTAGATCAGAGGCCAACTTTTGGGAATTGGTTCTCTCCTACTACATGTGTTCCAGGGATTGAACTCGGGTTGTCAGACTTGACAGAAACTGCCTTTACTCCCTTGAGCTATTTTGCCAGTCTCTCTTAAAAGGGTGTGGGGGGTTATTTATGTATATCTTTGTGTATTTATGCAAATATATATGTGTGGCTGGCCTCAGAGATCAGAAGAGGGTGTCAGATACCCTAGAGCAGGAGTCATGGGTGGGGGGGGGTTGTGAGCCACCCAGTGTGGGTGCTAGGAACAAAACTTGGGTCCTCTGGTTAAGTGCTTCTGAACCGTCTCTCCAGTCCCATCCTTTGCTGTATTTTTAATGAATCTGTGTAAACTCCATCTAGATTCGGTGTTTCTCCCTACTCCACAGGCACTCTGACACTTAGAACAGACTAGCTTGACAGGCCTGGGAGGAGGTCAGTAACACTGCGAGGCTGATGCTTTGACACTAACAAGGAAATCTGCCAACTGCTCATGCTTCTGCGAGGGGCCCCAGGGAGACAGGCGCCCCCTACTGGCCTGACGCAGCCCCCAAACACAGTCAGGCGGCTGTGGTTGCTAGGCGACCAGGCAGCCTGCGCTCAGACTCAGAGATTGAACAGTTGGGGGATTTGTGAGCACAGAGACCATTTCTCTCTCCTTCCACCGCCTCTCCAGCGCCCTCAGCAAATAAAGCTGGGATGGGGCGGCACTCTTCACCGCTGTCTCATAATCTGAGCTCATTCTTGAAAATAGAGCTTTAGCAGGTGACCTCAATCCTGGTGGAGAGACAATCTCTCTTGGCCCACACACGGTTTCATCTAGGGGCCAGATGAGCAGGTTGCTGAAAGCAGGGATTTCCGGTTTGTAAAGGGTGGAGGACGAAGATTGATGTTCCTAACCAAAGGGAATTGTAGAAAATTGCGAGTGGGTGGGAATAATTTTGGTGATTAGGCCAGCGAAAGTATCAAGATTTGCCTACCATTCTCAACATGTGCCTCAGGAAACTCCTACTTTAGCCCATTAAAATAAAGACTCCACAGGAATGACGAACCATAAAGGATTATTCAGACCTCAGCGGGACATGTCCCCCTCGCCCCCCCCCCCCCGTGCTTTTTTTTTTTTTTTTGAAGTAGGTTTCCTTGCGGAGACACGAAGGAGAGAGCTCATAAAGTAGACCAGAGCCTCAAAAGAGGGCGGGAAATACGAAGAATGGTCGGGTGGTAGACTCAGAACTTGGAGGCTTCTTGGCTCTGTGCCGCCTTTACCAGGATCGTGCTGAAGCCCCCTACTTTCATGAGGCTCTGGGGACCAGAAATTCAGTTTTCCCGTCTAGTAAGCTAATATTTTGTCTAACCTAGGAGTAGGCCCATGCCGGCCAAAGCCCTGCCACAGTAACTTCTCTGTTGAGGGGCTCTCCTCTGCCCTCTCAGCTAGTACAACAGAAGCTTAGTTGTGGTAGAGCCCCCGATTCATAGCAAGCATGGGGAGAGCTCTACCCAGGAGTGTGCCTGTAGGCTACCCCTTGAGTGATACTAGGCTGAGGAACCTTGCAGCCAGAGGGCGTTTGTCCCAGTCACTACCTCTATCCACTGGAGCGCCTCAAAGCTCCTTGCTCCCCATGTTTCCAAACTGAACTGGGTCGGGGCTGTGCCTTCACTCTATTAATAGCCCCTAACCCAGCCTGCTAGTCCCAAACCCAGATGCCGGGAGTTGTGACTCAGCAGCTAAAAATAACGAGCGATTGCACTCAAAACTCAGTGAACAGCTCCCCCTGGCCTTCGGCCCTCAAATTTTGGTCAGTCTTAGTCTCCAGTCCCGGGGCCTCATAGAGGTTCAGTGTCTACAGCTGTCTGGTTCTCCCAGCAAGAAGAGTTTACAGTGGTTGACTCAGAACTCGGTATGCGAAGCTAAGAGCTGGGAGCACGGTCTGAGTTGGTGCTGGCACTCGGGGAATCTGGACGCTGAGGTTAGAGGACTGCAGCTGAGAGCTGGGGAGTTGGGAGGTTAGAGCTGCGAGGCTGGAGGTTGATGGTATGGAGTCAGGAGGGAAGAGAAGGGAGGGGAGAGGAGGGGAGGGGAGGGGAGGGAAGAAGCTGCAGGGCAACGAGCCTGGTCAAAAGACAAGAGCAAAGAAAAAGTGTATGAGTTGGAAAGCAAGTACACATGCCCAAGGGTGACAACCTGACAGGCTGGGGGACTCCAAGAGCTGAGCTCGGTAGTCGGCTAGACTGAGGAGCGGGACTGGGAGGAAGGAAAGGGAAGGGAATGTAGTTTGAAAGGCAGTATGATCTGCTGAGTTGAAGGCACCATGGACCTTCCCACTGGTCTACCCTGCTGTCCCCCATGCCATGCCTGCTTGGGCCAGGTGTGTCGGTGTAGAGGACTATGAGAGCTGGGAGGCGGGGGTGGGTGGGGGGGAGACAGAGACAGAAACACAGAGAGACAGAGAGAGGTATGGCAAATTCAAACTCGCCTCCCTCCACTGAAGGCAGTAAGTGCCCAGAGGCATACCGGGAATTGTAGTTCCCATGACTGCCGGTAATCAGGGGTGGGGGGATGGGGGGGACGGACGGGGGTGAGGTCTTGGCCTGAGATGCTAGTACTGCTCCAGGTTCTGATCTGACAGGAAAGGATGAATCGAGGACCTTTCCCTGTCAGACCAAAACCTTAATTTGACTAGCCTTTGAGTGGAGGGGCAAACCAGGACGAATGACAGTGTAAAGGAGGATTGCAGGGTCAGCCTGACAGAGCCCTTCTTGTCCTAGCTTCTGTCTTTGCTTTCCAATCCTCTTTTATCTGCCTCACCATCGCCAGGTCAGCTTGACACTGGCCGCCTCAGCTTCTAGCCTTACAAGCAGCAACATATTGAGGCATTTGCTCCTCAAGGGGAAGGCTATCTAGAACCAGACCCTGTGTGTATCTCAGAGACGGCGGGGAGGGGGGGAGGTGGAAATCAGTTCTTGCCCTCAGTCTGAAGTCAAGGGCACAAGTCCCCGAACACGCAAGGAAAACTGGTGGCATTCATCAAGCATGTCACTGTGGCAAGGGATCCAGCCCTCTAAGGGGGGGGGGGGGCAATGACCACAAGGTGGAGCTACAACGCAATCCTGCTCAAAGCTCCTGGGCCACCCGGACAGAGGCCACAGTTGCTACTCTTCAGCCTGCTGGGGAGGCGGGAGGTGTTAGCCCCCCACCCATCTCCCCATGATGATGACCTCTCAATGTCCTTTTACATTCAGTTCCTGATGGAATGCACATCCGTCCAGCACCAGCACTGAAATGATTAAACTGTGACCGAATGACAATTAAAAATTCATTGAATAACAGATTAACAGGCAAGATACAGGGACCATTCACGGCTCACAACCAAAAGCACCGTAGGCACAGAACTGTATTGCTAAATGAGCTTTCCAGCTCCCAACCTGTGGGCAGGAAAGACGCTAAATTGTGAGGGTGAGGAGAAAAAGGGACTGGAGTGGGGACTGTCTTCACCATCTTTAAGTTCTCCAGTCACCATTGTGGGCTATTCCACCCTGACACACCCGGCGTCTTCTACCCGAGCACATGTGCGTGCAGGCCCAAGACATTATCTCTCACTTGGTTTAATTTTGGGAGTAACTTCCTGTCACTGTCTTTCCAACTAAGTCATGTTAAAATGTCAAAGGCAGCAAATTCCATGGCAGCTTGGGACATGCCCACCATTTGGACAGAGGGCCCTCTTAGTTTGAAAACTTGTTATGAATGCTCCCCTCCTCCAAACATTTTATTCCTGGATGTTCCACTTGAGCTCCTTCCCTTCCTTCCCTCTGGCTGCTGCATGCAGCCCTTGGTCTGTAGCTGATGGGGGCACAGGTTCCGCATTCATTCCGAGGTGACATTGTTGATCCTGGTCAGCAGCACTGTTGCTTCTAAGCCTAGGGCAGGGGAGAAGAGGTGGCTCATGTAGGGGGTGACACCAACAGGAATGAGGAGGAGGCAATGAGAAGCAAAGGGGCATTCTTACCTGTTCTCTTTCTCCTGGCACATCTCCTAGAGAGAGAAAGTTTTTCTATTGTGAGTTCCACTGACTTGAAGCAGAACACAGGGGTTCTCCAAACTGCTTTGCCCGGGGCCAAGACAATTTACTGGTATAAGGAAAGCTCAAAAATCAACCGGACTGGACCAGATCCCAATCCTGGGCAGCATGTGAGTCAGAATTAGCTTTATTACCTGGAGCCCCTGGGAAGCAGTGACCCAGGAGACCAAAGCAAAAACACTCACCCTCGGAGGACGAAGATACACGAAAGCAGCAGAATGGAGGCACAGTCAGTGACGATCCATATCATTAAGTAGATCTGAGGGGGCTACGGGGTTAGCAGAGGCCCATCAGTGGTCAGAGTCCCCAGGAGTAGCATATGGGGGTAAATAAGTATGGAAGGGGACAGGTTTAAGGAAGGCAAGAGACGGGAGATGAAGAACAGTGACAATGTGAGAGCCCTTACAATAAGCCAGAGGGGGTGGTGCATCTGTCCCAGCAGCTGGCAGTCGTTGGTGGTGACTGAGTCTACCCCTGCACACCAGAGCAGGGAGAAGAGCCAGGGCTTGTTCACTACGAACAGGTTCACCGAGACATTACTCTGGTGGAGTGCCCTGTGCAAGTGGGAAAGGAACGAGGAAGCATCCAGAATTTGCCCAGCTCACGGCTGAGACTCTGCCCTGGATCCATCCTCCTTTATACGGATCTCTGGGATGTAGAATTAATACTAATGCCTTTCTCATGTCCAAAGCCCTATCCAGTTTAGCCCCTGTCTCTCTCTCCAGCTTCCTCTTCCCCTTTCTTGCTCTTTATTCTCTCCTTGCTTCTTCTGGGCTTCCCACGGTTAGCTCATCCCACTTTTCAGTGCATCCTAACGTGGCTTCCCTGCTTCCTTACCCCCAACCCCAATCACTACCCGACAAAAATGTGATTTTCTTGTCTATATATTTTGGTAGTTCCCAAATTCCATGAAAGCTGGGACCTTTCTTGTCCATGATCTCTTTAGGCCTACAATAAATGCTACGTGATATATAGCAAGCATCTGATAGGTATCCATTGTGGGAATGGATGGATGGGTAGCTACCCCCAGCAGCGGTTCTTTCCTGACACTCAACTTTGGGGTTCCCTTTATTCCTCTCCTCTGGCACTTACTTGATATCCAACACTGGCAGGTCTTGATAGGGGAGGTTGAGAAACTGGGGCTGCTCAGTCCTGTTGCCCCCCTGATGTCCATATATCTGGCGCATGCTGGGAGCCCGTTGTTGCACAGAAGCACGGTCTTCATCCGGGAGCCAAAGGACCTGTGGTTCAGGGGAGATGAGTGTGCAGCCGAGGAAGTCCCAGGGATTCCAGGGACAGGTGCAGAGACCTTTGGCCACAGAATGTGGTATGTGACCTGGGGTAGGAGGGTGAGGGCAGGAGGCAGCCTCGGAATTATCATGGCTTAAGGAAGGTAGGTGGGAAGAGGGGCAAAAGGGGGACTTTGGGAGCACTGGACAACATCACCATGGCTTGGGGCACGCTTGCATTCAACACAGCCTCCAATGTCTGATTCACAAACGTGTCATAGTATGAGTGGTTGATCGGGGGTCGGCGCAGGTCAAACATGACGGAGAGGTTGAGGGCTGCTGCTTCCTTCAGCAGTTCTTCTAAGGCTGGCACTGTCTGATTCTCAGCCTCCTTCCGATCAGAGCCTGACAGCGCTCTCGCCCCCCAGAAGGGTTGCCTCTATAACAGAAGGGAATTATTTCAACATCACAGGAAGCCTCTAATTTTCTCCTGATACTTGCCATTATTTGTTCATTCGTTCATTCGTTCATTTTGAGACGGGCTTTCACTATGCAGTCCTGGTGGCCTGGAATTTGCTATGCAGCTATGTAAAGCATGCTGGCTTTGAACTCATAGTGAGCTGCCTCTACCTCCCAAGTTCTGTCTGGGATTAAAGATGTGAGCTACCACACCCAGCTCGCTCCCCTCAATCTTACTAAGTGTGCTACCCGGGTTCTACCCACCTCTGAGCCAAGGTCTCTTTCTCCAAACTGTTGCTTTCTCCCATCTAATCTTACCCTATGGCTCAGCCTCCTACCCCTCCAGGTTTCTAACTTCTTTTCTTCCTGCTACATTATTTATTTATTTATTTATTTATTTATTTATTTATTTATTTATTTATTTTGTATACAATATTCTGTCTGTGTGTATGCCTGCAGGCCAGGAGAGGGCACCATACCTCATTACAGATGGTTGTGAGCCACCATGTGGTTGCTGGGAATTGAACTCAGGACCTTTGGAAGAGCAGGCAATGCTCTTAACCTCTGAGCCATCTCTCCAGCCCTACACCATCTCTTGAGTCTCATAGAGATCTCTGTGATCTTGAGCCTTTGCTTTCCTCCTGGTCCTCCGGTTCCTTTCTTGTTGCATGAATTACTTTGCACAGTGCTCTCAAGAGACTCCTTTCTGCCTTTCGTACACCCTCCAAACTCTGATTCAGTTTTCCAACTGTCTGCCTCCTCCACCTTTAGGACAGGGGGCTGCACACTGTCTCAGGTAGATGACAGCATGGGGACTCTCGGCATTGCATTTCCTGTTTTCACTCACTGTGGCTTGATGAACCTTTTACTTGCTCTTGACTGGCCTTTTCTCCCATTCCTCCTAGGGGTTGTTCCAAGCTACTGCCATCCTGCCTTCCTTCCCTTACTATCAACTAAAGATCTCAAGTGCTGACATAGGTAAACCTGGGTAACACTGAGTATTTGCTATGTGCCGAGTGTTTTCTGTGTATGAACTGACAATCTGAGAACCCTAGAAAGGAGGTACTACAATTTTATTATTCCTGTTATACAAATGAGGAAACTGAGGCACAGATTGGCTAGGGATCATTGGCCAGAGTCACCATAGCTAGTAAGGGCTAAAGCCAAAGTTCAAATATAGACATTCTAGCTGGGCGGTGGTGGCGCACGCCTTTAATCCCAGCACTGGGGGGAGGCAGAGGCAGGCGGATCTCTGTGAGTTCGAGACCAACCTGGTCTACAAGAGCTAGTTCCAGGACAGGCTCCAAAACTATAGAGAGAAACCCTGTCTTGAAAAACAAAAATAAAATCAAACAAACAAAAATATAGACATTCTTGGTTCTTAATTATTCTGCTATGCCATCAGATATAGACTTAAATTTATAAAAGAAAAAGAAAACTGAAAGTCTGTGTTGTGATCTTAATCTTTTTGAAAAAAAATATACATACATATTATTAGTGAATATTTTAAATGGTTGGATTATGGGAGATTCCAATTCATAAATTATTTTTCTGTGGTTTTTTTTTGGTACAATGAATAAATACTACTTTTGCCATCAGGAAAAGAGGTACTGTGAAATTAAAGTATCCTTTTAAATATTTGTCACTGCCGAGGATTAAAGTCAACACTTCAATGGCCCAACCTTCAAAATTCTTCAAGCTCAAGCCCCTACCTCCCACCACTCCATGAATCGAATCTGCCAGTTCCACTGAGCTACTTTTTGTTCTCTAGAAACCTACTTGTGTTTCCGGTCATTCCCCATGCCCTTACCTCAAACTAGCAGCTCCATGTCCCAAGCAAGGGTTTGGAGCAGACGTCAGGTTAAGTGCTTGTCTAGCCAAGGCTCCGAGGCCCATCCCAGCACTGCGAAACTAGTTTCCCATTCTGGCTTTGCGAAACAGTGGACCTCACTCCCGTCTGCCCAGGAGAAGTATTTTTATTGCTCTATTTCCGACTCTGATTGTCTTTCGCTCCGGCTCTCTTTCCTTCTTAGCACGTGGGAGCAACATGAGGGCAGAGACTGTTCTTACTGACCAGCACAGGGTGCAGCGAGTACATACTGCTGGCATGAACTCTGCCCTGAGTGCCACCGAGGTGGTGGCCTCTTAGCCGGCGCCCTCACCTCTAAGAACCAGGCTCCAGCGTTGAGTCTCTGCAGTTCAGCCCAGGAGAAATCGCTGCTGTGGGCTGAGACTCGCTCTGGAAACACAGAGGCTACATCGGTAGTCCTGCTCAGCCGCTCGTCATGCATGAGAAAGGGGACTCCATCAGAGCTGAGGGCACAAGGAGTGTCAGGCATCCAAGCTCTGGAGCTGCCATCTTTTCCTGAGTGTCTTCACAGTGTCCCTCAGCCCACCAACCCCCCTGGGCCCAACCCTCCATCACCTGACCATCACGTCTGTCTCAAACACAGTAGCTCCACATTCGGCTGTTTTCCTTAAGGACATCAGGGTGTTCTCGGGGGCCAGCTGGGAAAGGGAGTCAGGAGGATGTAGTAGGGAAGGGTGGGGGTCTGCAAATCCACAGGCCGAGTTGCTGAAGCCTAGCAGATTCTCCTTTACTTGCCCAGGCTTCTTCCTGTCACTCACCATGGGAGTCCCTCGGTGTCCCACCAGACCAGGCTTGGGGGGTAAGTCTCCGAGTTTCATGATGCAGGGGGAGGAGATGAATAGGGGGGCCAGGTAGATGACCAGAGTGATTCCAAAAAATAGGAACAGTAGTAGAACCTTGGGGCCTATAGAAAGTGGAGGACAGGCTTTGGGGAAAGGCAGCAAATGAGTGGGAACTCTAGGGGCAGAGGGCAGACGCTCAGGCACAAGAAACCGAATGAACAGTGGGAAGAGACATTGGTGTCCAGTGAGGGTGTGTACGGGCTGAAGTTGGCACCTCTTGGTTGCATACGGTAGAAGGTATCTGTCACAGGCCAGGCCAGGAAGGTGATTCCAGCAACTGCTCCAATGTGAAGGAATGGGGCTGTGGCCTGTGGATAACAGCTGGTGAGGAAGGCTCGCCCTCCTATTGTCTCCCTGCCTCCCTCTTAGGGCCGAACTTTTGGAGTTCAGAGAGACCTGCAATCTCACCGGACCAGGACAATGTAATGTTCCAGGCCGCTGGCCAAGGCTTCCGCCTAGACAGTGGAGATCAGCCACTCACCTGCAGTGACAGTCGTAGACTATGCCACTCCTGCCGCCATTGGATATCCAGTCCCACCAGGCCAGTGGCCACCAGAAGTATAATGAGGAGCAATAGCACCTGGGGCAAAGGAAGAACGAATGGGCTTCACTGTCAGCCTCGCTCAGGGTTGAGTACGCTACCTCCTTATGCCGTTGACACAGGGTTCTTCCCCTCCCTGAACACATCCGCTCTGCTTTCACTCAGTAAATACGGGCTGGACACACACACACACACACACACACACACACACACACACATATATATATATATATATATGTTCAATTGATAAGTGTGCATTTAAAATAAAATTTTGATACTCAAAAAAAAAAAATAAATAAATACAGGCTGGGTTTCAGGTCCTGGCCTGGACCCCAGGGATCGAAAAGTGACAGCCTCAAGCAAATAGCCATCCATTGGTGTTGGACTCGACATCCCTTTTCCCTCAATGCCACGTCATTGTACCTTGTGGAGACTGTGAAGATGCAGAGGCTGACCACAGAGCTGCAGGAGCAGGCCCAGGAGCTGGGGACAGAGGGTAGGGGCACTGAGGAGGGGCCCGGAGAAGGCAAGTTCACCCAATGGGGATGTGCAGACTGGCATCTCCTTCCCACCCCAGAATTATCGCCACCCCTTCAGTGGCTAGGACGAGAACACGACAATAGACCTGAGCAGGAATGAAGGGCTTAGACGGGAATTAGGTCAGATATCCCTGAACCAACCAATAGCAGGGATGCATATGTGACCAGCAGAGAGATGACCAGCATGACTACCAGGGACCAGTCCATCCAGTGTCCCCAGTGGTGGAACAGGAATCTGTAGGAGGGGAAAGGGATGTGTTCAAGGGGAGGAGGCGACCTGAAGGGGGTTGGGAGTTAAGTCCAGGAAAATAACTAGAGCAAAGGGGAAATGCTTCATAGGGCCAAGGTCTCCAGGGATGGGATGGCAGGGGTGTGGGGGGGATCTTTTCTAAAGCGGTTGGGAATGCGGGATTCTGGGGCCATGTAGAGCTGGGGATGACTGATAGTGGGGGCGGGGTAGCTGAGCATGGGTTAGGAAGGCTGATATGCAGAGGAAGGGGTAGATGGAACGTGACACACTCATTGAAGTTGTGCAGATCATTGAGAAGGATGAGCCCGATGTAGAACCAGCCCAGGGACAGGAGGAAGGTGAGGAAGAGCAGGCCAAACCAGATGCAGTCGCACTGTGGAGGGGCAGGAGAGAAGCTCTCAGCTGATCCCCTGTTCATGCTCAGAGGCCCCCAGGACAGCAGCTCTGTCCTACACTGAGCCGCTCTTCCTGTATTTGAGGGAGATTTTCTTCCTGGGGAGAGAAAACTCCTTCCTCCCAACTGCCTATGAGTACAATCAGTCTCCATATTCCTTCCAAGCAGCCCTTTCTCTAACTCAAGGCCCGCCCCCCCAACCCCACTCCACCTTGCTGGTCTTCATCCTCTGTCTAGGCCATTTCCTCCAGTGACAGCTATATAGGCAGTGGAGGCCGTGGGCCCAGATGGAACAGCAGCCAGGAGACTCGGCCATGGTGAAGGCCTGGGGGAAGGGACATGACCTTCAGGAAACTCTGACAGAGGACAGATCTCAGCCTCCCCTCCCTCCTGGGTTTGCTGTCACAAGGAAGACCCAGAACTCTGGATTCGATGAGGTGACTGGCACAAGCCTGGAAAAGAGGGACTGTTAGGAGTCTTCCATTTCCGCTGATTTTTGATATTTGGGAAGTCAGTGGTCCAGCCTTTTTGCAGGCATAATGTGTACTCCTTTCTATTTAATGACATCCAGGTCTGGGGTTGGAGTCCTTGCCCATAGTAACTTAGGAGAATTGCCCCAGGGTGGGGCAAATTCAGTTCAGCAAGTTAAGGCAGACCTGACTGAGGTTGAAGCAGCCAGCCCATTGCTGCCTTCCACCCCAGGAAGCAGAAGTAACCTGAAGCAGAGGTTCCCATTCCGACCCTGGGCTAAGGGAGGCAGAGCAAGCTGACTAGTTGCTATGGATACAGAGATTGTACAAACCACAAAGCCTGGACTGAAAGATTCCGTGTCCACTTCCCAGGGTTGGGGGCACTGCTAAGAAGACTGGAGAGGAGCTGGTTGCCTGGATCCTTTTCTCCTAGGCCTCTAAAGGAGCCCCTTTTCTGCCTGCGCAGTCCAGAAAATCCAAGCCCCCCCCCCCCCCACTCTAGCCTCGTCCTTTCCTGCCCAGGCATCATGTGCAGTCACCCTCCACCCCAAAGAGAAATCCAGCTCTCACCTTCCCCCTCCCAGGGGCCCCACCCTCTGAGTTATCCTTAATGAAAGTACAACACACACACAGGGCAAAGGTGCATGTGTGAGTGCCTGCATTTGCGTGTACGTGTGTATAGGGGTGGTGGTGGTGGCGGCAGGGGAGTTGTCTTGGAGCAAGGAAGGCCTGTACCTTGTAGTTCTGAATACGGCTGAGACCAAGCTGATCCACAAACTGGGCTGGGCCTATGACTGTGATTCTATATGAGAGGCTGGACGGTTTGTAGTAGGTGAGAATTCTACTACCGAAGCACCAATGTAAGCAGGGTGTGCTTGTGTGTGATATGTCAACATATGTACGTGTATGTGCACTAGTGGACTGGTGGCTGCCAGTAAATGGGTTTCACTCTGACTGAAAATGTAAAGGAATCCCTGGGTAATATCTCCCTCCCTCCCTCCCTTCCTCCTTCCCTCCCTCCCTCAGCCTCTCTCTCTCATCTAACTGTCCTGTACAAAAGGACAGGGCCCCTTGTTCACCGTGAGTCTTATAGGGGTCCACAGTGGGAGGGCTCCAACAAGGAGGAAAGGTGTGTGTTGTCTGTTCTTGAAACTACCCCCCTTATTCCAAGTTCCCCCTGGGAAAGGAGGGTTCTGTCTAGGGAGTGGCGGAGTGGGGTCTGGGGAAAGGAAGAAACCTTTACCTTGTGGGTCTCTTCCCAGACTGTAGTCAACCCAAAGGGAAGCCCCTGCTTCTTCCCATCCCCGAAATGGGCTACACTAGCCCGTTCTGAGCACTATCACACATCCCTTGTCTCCTCTAGGGTGTTCCCCTGCACCCCAGACTTCTAGAGTCCTCCCTCCCTCCAGAGCTGCCTGGAAGAAGAATCAGGATCTGGCCAGTCTGAAAGACCCAGAGCAGAGAATTTCATAGGGGTGTTGCCTGAACCCCTGGACTCCATCCCTGCGGGGTTGAGCAGGTCCCCACTCCCCAGCCCCCACCGGTCGCCCCCAGCCTTCCCCAGCCCTCACACCTTTTACTCTTTTACTCAGGGAGTGCGCAGCTCTGCTTCCCAGCTCCTCTCCGAGGTGTCTGCCTCCTCCCTTTTGCAGTCCCTGGCTCAGCCTCACTGATCAAACAGGTGTCACTGTTGCCACCTACAGGAAGAAGTTTGGGTCCTCTTGGAATGTTCGCAGAGGCTCTACGGCCTGAGCCCAGCCACGGTGGGAAGGCGTGCGGGCGCCAGAGAGCTGGGAAGGAAGGTCGGCTTCTTTACTCGCAGGAGCTGGCGGTCAGGGGGCTTGGTATGAGGAATTCCTTTGTGCAGCCTTCCCCATCCCTCTGTCCCTCCTCCTGGTCCCCTCCCAGTCACTGCCAGAGGGCTTTGTCCTGGTTCTGGGAGGCAAGGGCTGAGGGCATAGGCGGGAGGGAAGATGGGGGAGGTGACCACACAATTTTGCAACTTGGCAGCAGTGAGGAGAAGGGGCCCCGCCAGTCCCCTGGAAACTCTAGAACAGATGAGAAAGTCTCACCTCAAGCTTCCTGGAAGTACAACTTCCAATCATTAGCTTCCCTTTCCTCTTGGGCTATTTGCATTTCTGCAAGGTCCGCCTATGAGACGCTTTTGAAGTGACTTTCTCAACTCTGGGCAGCCAGTTGCCCGATTCCTGGACTAGGGGTCCCTGTGGCCCCCTCTGCGGAACATGAGAACCTCATTCAGGATATCGGGCTTACTGCCTTGTTTGCTTGAACATTGAATCATTTCAAGAATCGCTTCGGGAGTGTGGAGTGTATTGGGGTACCATGCTTTTGGAAGATGAACATGCACAAAAGAATCACTCCAGCATCAACAGGAGGTGGACTAGCAAGTTGTGGTAAATTGAGTATAAAGCAGAGTTGCCTGTGAGCTTGGAAGGGCTGAGACAGCTCTTGCATTGTGGCTGATGCAGTGACTTGGGGTCTGTGCATTAGCACTGTTGGGGTGTTGTTACAAATAAATTGGCTTCCCCTCCCCCTCTACACACTCAATTTCAACGAGTGAGGGAGATTGGCTCTCTTCTGCCAGGAGCTGGTCCCCTCCCTCTCAGCTTTCCCATTGTATCCAGAGGCTCTAGTTGGCAATGACAGAGATTCCCTAATTCTCTCAGAATTAAAATGCAAAGAGAAACAAGGCTGCTTGCTGGCAGGAAGCCAGGGAGGGCCAGCAGGTCACCTAGTCCTCCACCGGGAGTCATTCTTGGCAGGTTGTTTTTCAATTTCGTTTCTTTGCTTTGGTTGTGTTGGATTCTAGAATTTTGTCTTTCTTACATGTGGGGACAGTTTGTGAGCTCTTTAGAAGCAGAGGGGGTGGGGGAACAGACCAGAATTCAATATGCATTGCTATCAGTCTCAAGGCTGCCAAACTCTCCAAAGGCTTCAAATCTAGTCTGTATGTGGTCCTGCATATTGGAGATGATGGTAAAAAGTCTTGTTTCTCCTCTCTCTTTTCAAGGGGAAACAAGGAGCCAGTTTGTAGTTTTGTTCTGTAACTGAAAAGCAGCGTGGTGCTACACCCATTGAGCAGACTGCAGGGCATAAGGGTCATATAGTTAAGTGTATATTGAGCTCTCTTATTTACGAACATTGTAACTCTCCATAACTACTTCCCTGTACCTCGGTACTATCAGTGTGCTAGATGTTCAGCATTCTCCGAAAGGCCCATGAGTTCAAGATTTGTTCTTTGGCCTGTGGTGCCATTTGGGAGGCTGTGACACTTTTAAGAGATAGCTTCTTGTGGAATGTTTTTAGTACACTTTAGGGTATTCTCTTGAAGGGATGATGGGATCCAGATCCTTCCACTGGTTTTTCTATCCTGGCCATGAAGTAAGCAGCTCTGCACCATCACATGCCTCTGTCATGATCTGATATGGGCTACAAACCATGGTCTAGAACCTCCAAATCTGTGAGCTAAAATAAACCCATTTTTTTCCATGAACTCATTATCCCAGGCATTTGCTATAGTATGGGGAAGCCGACACTCTATTTTCTTCTATGTAAAGTACAGGCTCCTATCAACCTTGAGCATGTTTTGGTGAGAAGCAAATACAATTATGGCAGGAATGTGGCAATGGCCATGCCATTCCTACATCCTAGAGCAGCACAGCAGAGAAAGGCAGTGCCATGCTCTGTGCCAGGCTCTAGGAAAGGGTAGGAAGTTGGGGCAGGGTGTAGCTCTGTGACAGAATGTTTGTCTGACATGTCCAAAGCCCCGTGTCAATTCCTATCCCTGTAAACAAAACAGAACACCGAACAAACAAAACACTAGGCAGACTTCCTAGAAGAAGGAAATATCCGGACTTGTGGGGAAATTGTAATAGATCCCCTTAACAGTTTTCCCAGGGGGCTGAGGAAAAAGTGTTGGAATTTTATTTCTTCCTCTAACAAAAAAGGATCTCCTTTAAGAGCTAAGGTTTATTTATTTTCTTAACATTTAAAAATGTTTCATTCACTTTAGCAACATGACAGACAGTTGAAGTTCCTGTTAAAATCCAGAGTTGGAATGGAGCAGCCCCACTCCTGAGTTGTGGTGACGGAGTTGAGTCAGGTCTCCATCCTGCACGAGGCTCCTCCATTAAGCTGACATGACCATGAGAGGAACATCTTGGCCTCTGCTGCATGAGAAGACAACTCAATTGCTTGCAAAGAAAGAGCTAGCTGGGGATGGGTGTCCTATGAGTCAGTCATCAGGAAGGTCAGTTAGTTCTTTCCAACAGATGGCTCAGCACCTTCTGGAGAAGAAAAGTAGTTGTTTGGAGTAGACAGAAAAGGTCAACATTCAGCAAAGGTCCTCTTCCTTTCAGTGACACTTTTTTTTTCCTTTTCTCAAAAGCAAAACCTAAAAGCTACAGAAGTCTTTAGCACCCTTCCCCTCTGAGCTGCACCCTGAGAATGTGTCCAGGACAGACAGAAGAGAGAGACCATGACCATAACCTCAGTGGGACTCTTCCTGTATAGGAGAACAGCCAGAGAAGAAGCTGGTATTGCTGGCTAGAGCTCGCTTCTTCTTCTTGCTTGTGACCTTATTTTCTTGAGATTCTGAAGGTCTCAGTTCTGGGTGGTCAGAGGAAGGAACAAAAGCAGGCCTGCCCAGCAGCACCTGATCTGCATCATATATCTCTTTTAGGATCTAGGAAAGACAGAGACAGAAATGAATAGACGGGCCCAGCTGAGCCACTACAAAGGTTCCATACAACCCAAGTAATACGAGGCATCCCCTACAAATGCTCTCTATTAGATAACACACTCCAGCCAGCGCAGCAATTTGATTATATCTTTCTCCACAACTATCTCCCATGGGCTTCTATCATAGCTAATGCAGAGAAGGATGCAAACACAGTTTTTTCATGTTTTGAATTTAGCCACCCACCTTGCTACTGGGAGTTGTACAGACAGGGTTGAAGAAGCTTAATCCTGAGGTCACCTCTGTAGGGTCTTCCAGTTTAAAGGAACTTTCAGAATCCTGGGTTTGCTCAGTAGCATCTAAGTTATCCTGAAATCAAGCAGACAGGCTTATTATAATTTAGCTCCCTGAGTTACAAAATAGCCTGTTCCTCTTCAGCCAGGGAAGTCCCAGCTCTGAGGACCCTATCAGCCCATTACTCAAAGCAAACCTAAGGGAGCTACTGTTCAGAGAAGCCACGGGGCTTAACATGTTCTGTCCCCAAAGAAATGAGTTTGTGCTTAAGAGGTGAACTCCCTACACAGAGAAACCCTGACTCAAAAAAAAAAAAAAACAAAAAAGGAAAAAAATAACAAAAGAAAATATCTTCAACTTAAGGCAAAGTTTAGACCGGGTAGTGATGGTGCATGCCTGTAATCCTAGCACTTGGGAGGCAGAGGCAGGTGGATCTCTGAGTTTGAGGTCAGACTGGTCTTCAGAGTGAGTTCCAGGACAGCCAGAGTTGTTACACAGAGAAACCCTGTCTTAAAAAAACAAACCAAACAAACAAACCAAAAACCAAAATAACAACAAAGAGGAAGAGGTAGACTCCAAGGACTTATTCACGTCTAGAATGAGACATATGGTAAAGGGAACTTTAAAATTAGGCCAAGCTGAGTGTGGGGTATATAGCTTACTACCAGGATTTGGGAGGCTGTGGCAGAGGGATGACAAGTTTGCTACAACCTGGGGGAATTAGCAAGACCTAGTCTCAAAGAAAATTATAAAAGAAGGAAAATGAGGTCAAGCTTTGGCTATTTCTGTGATTAAAGTTATTCTGCCTCTAACCTGCAATAGCACCTATAGGAGGCTCTCTGCCTCTAACCTGCAATAGCACCTATAGGAGGCTCTCTGCCTCTAACCTGCAATAGCACCTATAGGAGGCTCTCTGCATTAGTATTTATTTAGGGTACAGAAGTCATGTGGGTCATAAGGTGACTCTGCATAGAATTAGCATTAAAACTGGAGTGGTTTGTTGTAAAAAACAGCTGGATTGAGATCCAGGAAGCCTGAGGTTTAATCTTAGTTGTCAGGACAGCTATATATCAGGCAAGTAACTTCAGTTTGCCTCTGGAATTTAATTTCTTCTTTTGTAAAATGGAAACCTTGCCCCAAATCAGTGGTTTTCTTTAACTGAAATTCTGTCTGTCTATTTATTTTAGTTTCTCGAGACAGGGTTTCTCTGTAGCTTTGGGACCTGTCTTGGAACTAGCTCTTAGAGACCAGACTGGCCTCGAACTCATGGAGATCCACCTACCTCTGCCTTACAAGAGCTGGGATTAAAGGTGTGTGCCACCACTGCCTGGTTTTAACTGAAATTATAAGGAGAGGCCCAATGTGAAAGTAAGTGAAGAGCAAATTGTTTTGATGGAAATGAAATTCTAAAGGTTTCAGGCAGAGACCCTTTTATGCTGCAGCTTCAGGGTTCTAGAATCCTAAATGAAAAACCATGAGAACAGTGAACCCTTACAGGCCTCCATTATGTCTCTGAGTTTTAGCCTGACCTATACATAGCTTACTTAGCTTAGAAGTCTTCGAAATAAAAGGCCCAAGCCCAGACTATTCCTGTGTAAATGTTCAGAAATGCACGATGAATGTTCATTATACAGTACACTTGCAAGTCTTGTATTATGTGTCAAGAGCTGTGGCCAAGATTTCTTGCCATCGGCATAAGCAGGTATAAGGCAAGTACAGAGACTGAACCTGGTTGCTGCTGCTCTTTTCAGGGAACATTTTGTTTCCTAGAGTTTGTTCTTCCTGGGAGTAACAGAAGGACAGCTACAGTTAATTTGCTTCACAACGCTCTTTTCCCAGAGTCATGGAATGCTCGGTTCCCATACAGCCTACTAACAATTGTCTCAAGATG